TCAAAGACTGTTGTTAGGTAAACTCGTCCAACACAGTTGAATGTGTTTTCTCATGTTTGGTGAGAAAATAAACCTACTCATTAGCTCATTTTATAACATGATTCCCACAGCTTAAAGAAAAAAATCAGAAGCCCTTCCAAGAAAATGATTTCCAACGGGATTTTTGGACCACGCACCATCACCACCTCCTGGGAACTTGTTCCAAACACAAATCCTTGGGACACACATGATTATCCAGACCTCAATAAATCAGAAATTATGTTTGCACAAGTCCTCTGGGTGTGGGTGACCCACACTGGACTTGGAGAACCACTGATTTAGGTGTGACTTTCTTGTAAGTAGTCACTGTCCTATTTGGTGTCTGGTTTCACAGTAATGTTCAGTCGTAGCAGAAACCATAATGTGGAGAAGTAATTTTTGAAATAATGACTCAGACATCCGTGCATCTGATGAGATGAGAGAAAACAGACACCCAATAGAGAATAAATGTCCAGGGAAAGATATATGCACTCTTCTAGAATCCTGGAGCAAAACACATTGCCTTTCCTGTATACGTCATGTTGAGAATGATCGACTTGTCTTGTACATGTCTGTAAGGAGGTCTTGTATGGAGGTTTGTCAGGAATGGTTGTCAGCATGTCCTCCTTTGCACCTTTACTACCCAGGTTAGCTGATGGTGCCTGCAGGCTGGCTGACTCTCAGACCTCACCTGGTGTGGTTGTCATAACCCCACAGGGAGAGGACAGTCCTTCATTGTTAATGCACAGAGTGGGGTATATACTGAAAGGGGGTGAAATCTGGATCTCAAACATATTCATTGTAGCCTTGTTCACAACAGCCCTGGTTCTGAAACAATCTGTGTGTCTGTCGACAGATGAGTGCATAAAGAGATGATGGCATATCTATATGGTGGAATATTATTCAGCCTTAAAAAAGGGAAGTCCTGCCGTTTCCAACAACATGGATGAAACTGGAGTACCCTATGCTAAGTGGAACAGGCCAGTCATGGAAGGATAAATACTGCATGATTTCACTTATAGGTGGAATGTTTTAAAGTTGAATACATAGATGCAGAGAGTAGAATGGTGGGGTCTAGGGGTGCACGGGTGGGGAAGATGAGCGCTGTTGGCTAAAAGGGTACAAAAGCCCAGTTATGTAGGGTGGATAGGCTCTGGGGATGTGATACACGGCATGTTGAGTGTAGTTAATAATGATTTGTTATACAATGGAAATTTGCTGGGATTATAAATCTCAGATGCTGTCAGCCTCACACACAAACGATCACTATGTGGGTGGAAGGTTGTGTTACTCAGCTGGACTATAGCCATGATTTCACTGTGTGTATGTAAATCAAACATGTAAACACCTAAACAATATGATTTTATTTTTAAAAGAACAGAAAAATGACATGATACCTACAAAAATCAAATACAATGAATAGAGACATCCTTTGACTTTGTAAGGGAAGGGGATCTCTAGCTGGTATTTTATTTTTACCCCCGGATGATAGCTCCATTTGAGAACCTTCTCTGCCATTATAACCCTTGAGTGGAAGGCCCTTCACTTTTTTTTTGCAGAGATGATCCCATTGTTATCTATTGCAAAACCCTTATGGTGGCTGCACGGTGGCTGCATTCTCAACGTGTACTGAGAGCAGACCTTCCACCCAATGTCCTTTCAGAAAGCTAACTGACTCCTTCAGTTCTGCCTAAAAAACACTGCCAAGTAGAAACTAACAACAGGTATGTATCTTTAGAGAGTTTAGCCCACAGCAACACACGTCCGACTATACATTATGTGACATGTCTGTACATTTTATGACCTAGAAAACTTTATACTGAAATTTATGTCATTGGAGAGCCACTTGAAATTTTAGACTTCTGAGGACATTTTCCCTGGAGCTATAGAATCAAGGCTAACATATGATTTAAAGAGGAAAAGAAAAGGAATTCTACAATTCTTTTTCTACAAAACTTAGCTTAAAATGAGGAATTACTGAACACTTGTAGACCTATGACCTAGGCAGAATAGATGTTCAGTAATTATCCAAAATGTAATAAAATCCCACACTATGCTGGGCACTGGATTTTACCCACCAAGTAATCAAGGAGCTTAGAATCCAGTTTAGAATCTTTATGTTTCATTCAGTATAACAGGAATCCTAAAAAGAAACACTACATGTTAGCATAATGATGAAGATTTGTGTGTTTAAATTCAACATAAATGTATTTTTCTTTTTTTTTTTTTCTGCTCCTAAAATCAAAACACAAGGCATACAGGGTGAAAGCTCGTATCTTGAGTGCCCCGGCATCACATTAGCTACCTTAAGTAGAAGAGCCCTGACATATCTGTATATTATTCCCATCCTACAAATGGGGAAATGGGAGAAAAGGACCATTTACGATGAGACTTCCAAGTGCAACCACCTGACTTAGTTCATTCAAACTCTGAGACAACTTGCAGTCACTTGAGATGGAGTAATGAACTAATGAACACCAGCTGTATCCTCCCGTTCAAAGGTAACTTTAAAAAAAAACAGACAAAATAGATAAAACCAAGGTTCCAGATATTTGACGGTAATCCCCGAGAGAAGGGAGGCGAAGGAGCTGACTGCTGCTCCAATAGCCTCCAGCCTACTGCCTGGAGAGAGTTGGCAGGATGCAGTCAGGCAGGAAGGGATGCCCGGCCCATGCGCTGAACTGAGGACATGCATTTGGAAGTTTGCGGAGGCCAAGTCAGCTAGAGTTTGCAACGCACTGCAGGAGGACCGTTCCACAGGAAAAGAACCCTGAAGGTCCCCTCCTAAGTCTTCCTAACCATGCACAAGAAGAAAATAGACATGGCTGGACAAGAACCCCTCTCAGCACTAGACACAACACTCTCTCACTCACACAGGGCTAAGGGTAGTTACTAGTCCCCCCCAGCAGGAGAAGGGAAAAGGTCATGGGACTCAGGGCAATGGGGACAGGGCTCCAGACAGCATTGCCTCAGGACTGTGGGAGGCAGGGGAATGTCCTGTAGACTGAAAGCTGCACTGGTTGTGCTTAACAAAATGTCAACTCAAGGCTCCAAAATCAAATCAAACCATTTCTGAAAATTCTGACTGTATCCCAGAACATTTACAATGTCTAGCACCAATCAAAAATGACCAGGCATACGAAGTAGGCATGTTAGGAGAAAATCAATCAATTGAAACCCACCCAGAAATAACACAGGCGATAGCATTAGTAGTCGAGGACATTAAAAATGATTATACCTCAATGCCGTATGTTCAAGAAGGTAGAGAAAGACATTAGCATGTTAAGGAGGGACAAACAGGATACAAAAACAAGACTGAAATCAAACTTCTTAAGATGAAATATACACCTTCTGAGCAGTACATCAGACATGGCAGAGTAAAAGATTAATAAACCTGATGACATAAAAAAATTATGTATAATTAAACATGGAGAGAAAAAGTCTGAAAACTAATATACATATAATAATAATAATAATAATTTCTCTTTTGCAGAAGAATAAAAAGACCCAGAGATTTAAAACTTACTGTATGTTCATTTGCCCAGTAACTGAGCAGGTCTGGGTTAAAAACAACATCGTTATGATTCCAAATTATCCCACACCTTACCATGTCAGAGAAGCTTAAAAGATTGTAAAAAAAAAAGTAACTATTGAAGTACATCAGATAACTTTTTCCAACTGATTTTGTAGTAAACCATATATGTATCAAGACACCGTATTCTAATAGATATACCATATATTTACACACCCGCAAATGTTAGGGCTGTCTAGCAGACAGAGATCATGTACTTGTGTCCCAAACCACTTCAGCACAGAGCCCTTTGTTAAGGAATGGGGGACCATTTCCACAAAACGCACCCTCTCAAACTCCAGATGTTGTGAAATGGAAGCATGCTTTAATCTCTAAAATGCTCTTTTTCACATCAGCTACTAAAAATGCGTTCTGCAGACCTTTAAAATGATTTGAGGCAATTCTTCATTTCCTCATTGGGACCAGGAAATCTTACTATGAAACTGCATCATTAACAAGTCTAGTTGTTATAAAAATGATTGGTTATCTTCCATTTACCTACGATTTACTTCAGATAGTATTACCATGAAAGTTCGTCTTTTAAGAGGTACAATATACTATTATACGAAAGAAAAGGGAAATTGGTTCTTTAAAGTAATTGATATTCCTCCAGATCTGTGACCATGGCAAAATGAGCTGAAAATGCACAGTCTCTCACCAAATATCTTTGCATGAAAAAAATGACTCTCCGCATGACAAAGCAGTCAGTATCCCCAAGAAGATGGCTCAGGGAAAAATTTAAGTCATTCTATAGAGAGTAACAGTTATACCATGAAGCATGACATTTTGGTAATCTCTCCAGAACTTTTTAAATGTATAATGAAATCATTTGATAGCCAGATTCATCCTAGTGGAAACCATTGTCACGTTTAATGTGTTCCACAAAATATAAAGTGGTGACTTCAGAGCACTAGCTCAACTGTGAGATTGCTTCCATGATCATAAGCAAAAATGAACGAGCAAACAAACAGAAGTTTAACCACCTTTGCTGGGTATCCTTTGATCCCTGATGACCAGTACACATTTCTCCATCTTGCACTGAGCTCTGGGAGGGTGGCTTTTGATGGAGGGCATCAGGAGACCCCCTTACCTCTGGCTTCCTGTGAGTCAGAAGGGTGGGATACACCAGCCAAAAGTAGGAATCAGAGAAAAGAGAGAAATAGGACTCATCCTTCACCACAAGCTGCTTCCCACACAGCTTCCAAGTCTTAAGATCCTGATGACTTACCTCTTTCCTGCTCCTTGGTGACCCGGATTCCTGCTCACTTGCCTAGGGTTTCCCTATATCCCTCCCATGCCTGTGAAATGAGATCCTGTTAAAAATCATCCTCAAATCACAAAACCTGACCATGCCATGTGTGCCCAACTAGGGCTGTTCCTTATTCTACACCACTTTGGCAAGAAAACTTACTGGCTGATTTAGGTTTCCAAACAGAAGAAAACTTGCTGGCTGATTTAGGTTTCCAGACAGACTAAGCTGCGTGATTATAACTCTGTAACGTGAAACAGAACTGTTGCCAACACGTTCATTTCCTGCTGTATTCGTGGTAAGCCTGTAGATGGTGGTTTCTTTGCAATGACCTAAACAGCAATTAAAAGTTGTTAGGTTACTTGAGATGATGTCTAAAGAGTGTTATAACTTCAAACGACTTAGAGGAAGCTCTTGGCTAAAAGTGCTTGTTGTTGGATTGATTAGGTCCGCTCGTGCATTATTTACATGCCCTATGAAACCCATCATTATGAATATAATTGAGGGTGCGATGCTCACCATGGGAAATAAAGAACAATTTCAATAGCTATGCTCTTATTTCCACTTTGGTTAAGAGCAATGAACACTAAAATGATCCCACCTTTACTTCATCTGACATTTGCTGTCACTCTTAGCACTGAAGCGTAGCGTTAGGAAGGCATCTCACTGCAGGTACAGGATGTGAGCAAGAGGTATTAAAAAAAAATGGTGCATTTCAGAACAAAATTCCTTCTATGAAACAAACTGTAATATATGCAAAATGTAACACGTTGGTGTGATATGACCAATTTCGTGGTATATGGGGAATATGTGATTGAGGATGGTCAGCCTCGCTTTTGCAAACGGCTAAGATTTAAACTTCACCTGAGATACGGATGAAACAACTGTCCTGTAGGTACACAATCAATGCTTGGATTTGGGCAGGAAAAGAATAGATGCATATGAGAATACACTGATAATTCCAAAGAAGACCACACAATCAGAAAACATGTGTGTGGGTAAAACTGCAATATTTCCAGAATCTCTCCCCTGGCCTTAGTGCATCTGTTATCAATAGGTGCTTCCAAGGGGTGGAGAGACGTAGCCATTTCCATATCAATAGGTAATTACAGGGAGGAGCGAGGGAATATGTGGACTGGAGAGGTTGGGTGGGGTGTCCCTTTTTGAAGCCCAGAGACACAGGCAAGCAGAAGTGGATGCCTTTTTGTAAGCAAAAAACCGGTTTCTCCCACTTTATTTCTCCCTTTGACTGACTTGGGTTTCAAAGGTATTTTGCCCCCGGGGTTTGGAACATATTTTCCCCCTGGAGTTACAATGTATTTCTCCTAGTTAATCTCTGTTTGAAAGGAGCAAAAAGTACACAATCTATTCATGCTTCTCCACGACAGGATAAGCAACAAGAAAAGATAGGAAAGAAACACAACTGGTGTTCTGAGACTTGTGATTCAGTCAACAAAATAGTTTTCCACCTTAAGGCCCCAGTGAGTCCAGAGAAAACAGATCACAAAGTGTTTTAGCAAGATCAGACTCACCAGCAACGATCCGAGGCATGCAGAAGGCATAGGGGAGAAGCTAATCCCGCACCTTCACCTCATTTCTCTTGTTTAAATTTCTCATCTTGGACACACTTCCTGGGTAAAGGCTATTGGGGATTTGCTAAACCTTTAACGCAGGGAGTATATGAAAACCACCGGGTGCCCACGGACACTTTTTCTCTTGTGAACTGCAAGGTACTTCTCCTTTTTTGTAAACATAACATTATTAATTACTGGAAGAAGAAGAAAGCCTCAGAAATGTTATTTGGCGTTGACGTTCAAAAGCCTTTAACATTTGAGCTGCTTCTAAACGAGGTAAACAGAGTCAGCCTCATTCATCTCAATTTCTTATTTTTTCAGGTCGTGTGGCCAAACCATTTTGAGAAGTGCTGGACGGACAAGCCACATCCGGAGATGTTTCGTGGACATGGTTTTTTCCAGGAAAATGTAATCCATTGATGTATCAAAAAAAAAAAAGAAGGATTAAACTCAAAGTCTTTGAGGATTAACACATAAATGTTCATATTTTAATTTTAAGTGAAATCTTCAGTCTCAGGAAAACACTAAACTTTCAGTGAAGGGACCTAAAATAATCCAGAGGGAAAAAAAAATGTGGGTTTCTCTGCTTATTAAATTTTCTCTCTGTGGTTTTTTCTTTCGTCCTTTTAAAACAATAATCATATATCCAAGGAAGGACAAACAGTATGAAGAAACCAACTGCTGGAACTTTACATATAAAAAATGAAATGTTCCCAAGTGATTTTAAATCTCGGAAGCCACAGGCACAGGCACTGTGCGTTTGTGCCACAGCTTTACCATTTATCTTCTTTAACTCTCCGTGAGGAAGGGTCTGGAGACTGAAGTGAGCTTTGGAGCTCTTTTTTCGCTTGTGCATCAATTTTCCCGGGGGGGGCCTTGCGGGGCAACGCCCTGCTCATTATCAGCGACTGAAATCCGGCTCCAAGTGTTTCCCGTTGAGCAATTAAGGCAAATCCCATCAAAGGGAGGGCATGTCTGTGCCTGACTCTGCTCTGAAAATACACGTGGAATCTGACCCAATGTACGGGTCCCACAGCGGCCACAGCTCAGAAATTTGCAGGGACCAACAGTCTCCAGCTCTTCCTGTCTATTTGCATCTTTTAAAAAATTTTCTATAAGAAGGAGAATTTTGAAGAATGTCGTTTTTTTAAAAAAGGATGACTTTCGGATTCCGGAGTGGGCTTATCTAGGATGGCAAGGTAAGAAAGCAGAAATGCACAGAGGGGCTACCCCCCTTCACCCCACTAAAGGCATCACCCCTGGATGACGGTGTCTGGCTTGTGCTGAAAACTGCACCACCGGCCTGGCCTGCCTTCTGCCTCCCCCAGCCGTCAGCGCCCTCAGGACCAGAGGTCACCCATGACGAATCCCCCTGGACCCCGTCTGTCAGAAAATGTGGGCAGCTGACTCTGCAACATCTCTCGGGCTGCCCTTCCATCTGTTTGCATTCTACAAGCTTGGATCTTAAGCACCAAGGTCTCCAATGTCAAAGAGGCCCCCATGACCCGTCCCCTGTCCGTGGGGCTCACCCCCTAGATGGGTCTTCCTGACAGCCCGCCCTCAGCCCGCGAGTCCCCCCCATGCACAGCCGAGGCCTGCAGACGGCAGACGGCAGAACACCAGCTCCTCTGCAAGATCCGGGCCGAGGAGTCAGCCGGCCCTCACTGCCGGGTCCCCTGTGAGAAGCGGTAAATCGCCTCCAGTTACTCACTTTGCCACGCAGCCCATAATTACTGGAGTTTGTGCAGAGCTCTGGGGAGTGCCCCGGGCACAAAGAAATACCACAGAAAAACAACCAGAAGACCAGAACGGGAGCACAGACGAAGACGAGGCCAAGGCCTGCCTTTGCCCTTTGTGGCGCTTGGCAGCACTTTATAAATGAGAAACTTCAGAGTGTTTTAATAGGGATTCAAATGAGCAAAAACACACAAACATATACACACACTCACATGGAGATATGTCTGAGGTGTGTGTGTGTGTGTGTGTGTATTACAGACTTTCACACACATTCTTTTATCTTTTATGTACATATGTATCCTCTTATATGTATATGCATTTAAAATACATGCAGATAAAGTCCATTGTAGATTAAAATACATGTAAAGGGTGTGCATGCATGTGCATATCCACACATATATATGGACATACACACATATGAATTTACCATGGGTGCACATATATGTTTGTAATTCATATACATATATAGTATATATATATATACATAAAAAATCTATGCATATATGCATGCATATGCATACATTCTGTTTTTAAGTATTATATATACATAGAAAAGAATGTTAGTGAAATATATATACATTATATATATATGGAGAGATACAACTAATTGGATCTTGAACAGTCATGCTCAGATAGATATGAAGAGAGAAATCAGAAAGACAGATGATAGGTAGGTATATAGGTAGGTAGAAATTGTTGACAGATACAGAATATAGATGATAGACAGATAGATAGATAGATAGAGAGA